CTTAAATGCTCTCCAGTTCAACATAATGCTCTCCAGTTCCATCCAAGCTGTCACAAAGGGTAGGAGCTCCTTCTTTCTCTCTGCTGCATAGAATTCCATTGTGTAAATGTACCACAGTTTTTTGATCCATTCATTTATTGATGGGCACTAGGTTGCTTCCAACCACTTGGCTATTGTAAATTGTGCTGCTATGAACATTGGGGTGCAAAGGTTTTTTGGATTGGTGTTTCAGGGTTCTTAGGGTATCATCCTAGCAGTGGAATTGCTGGGTCAAAAGGCAGATCCATTTTTAGTTTTCTTAGAAAATTCCATACTGTTTTCCGCAGTGGTTGTACCAGTCTGCAGTCCCACCAGCAGTGCACTAGGGTTCCCTTTTCTCCACAACTTCTCCAACACTTCTTGTTTGTTGCTTTGTATATGATGGCCATTCTTTTATCTTCTAATACTTACCTGTTGGGTAAAATTTTATTACAAGCCAATACAGAAAAGGAATATCTTTTTAAGGTTGTTGGAACCGAAACCCAAGCAATGAACCTATAAATAAAGACTCCCACAGTCTCAGCGACTTCACACAAACCACTCCTCAATCAAAATCTCAGTTCTTCCTGTAAAAACTGGGATATATGCTTGTTTCCAACTAGAAAAGCTCAATAAAGAGCTTTGGATATATTGGGGAAAAATATTTTTATAAATATAACCTTGGTATTTTACAAGTTTTGATTGGCACGGGATTTTAGAGCTGACACTACACTGACCCTGTGCTTCCTCCTGTGTCACCCATCCCCTAGCAGAAACTTCCTGGTCTAAAGCCAACAAAAACTGTCACCAATCACACCATTTAACGGTGGCTAGAATTTGCAAATACTTTCTCTCAGTAATCACAAGACCATATCCAGAAATACTCATTAGCAATTGTATTTACATCTATTAAATGTAGATTAGGGGAATTTTATTTTAACAAGATTTTATTTACCAACTCATTAGAATGACAAATTATTACAAGTACGAAAATAATTAACTTAAGAGTTATAAAGTAGCACAACTCTTCTGCTCATCAGAGGAGAACGACTGCATTTCTCTCCCACTCTACAGGCTCATTTTGCACAGCTACGTATCAGCCATTGTTACTAATTTCACATTTTTACTCACTCTTTCTTTTCCCAGACATCTGAATTCTGGGGCTGCCAATTGCATGGAGGCCTTTTAAAGACGGAATTCACTGTGTATCAAAAGCAGTTGTTTAAATAAGCATTTGGTGCTGACAGTTTTGCCCTCCGTACTTTTCACAGCAGCAGCTAGGAGAACATTTTACTGTCCGTCAGTCATGGCTGTCTTTGTTAGGCTTTCTTCCTTCCTGCCGTCTAAGGAAGTACGTTCTTACAACCTGCGCTGCCCTGCAGAATTGTCCCTCAAGTTTAGAGATGTCCCCCCCCAGCAGAGGGAACAACAAATGAAACCCTGGGCCTCCTCCCTTCCAGAGCATGGAGGCTCGTTACGTTATCTCCTCCGATGCTATCTCAGTATTACTCTTTTGTCACATGTCAGTGAAGTCAGCAAGAAAGGAAAGCTTCTGCACTGGGTCTGATGATTTGACCACTAGCAGGTCAAGCAAAAATGTACCTAACTTGAAAATAAAGTGTTTAGAAAGCAGAAATGCAACTAACCATGCATTCCCACTTCCAACATTTCCAAAGATATATTCATCCTTCCTGTTCTCTCATTTAAAAAAAAAAAATCGTTGTCTTAAGATAAAAGGACCACAAAACTCCAAGACTTAATCCCTGCTTCAGGCTAATGACAAAAAAATATTTTTCATTTTTAGTTCACATCCTGAAAAAAATTCCCTTGACAGAAAATGTTCTGAACTAGGCTCTGAAAGGCAAATGCATTTGTTTCCTTGAAGTTTTTCAGGAGGACAAAGGAGAGAAGAGGACTCAAGAACAAGCATAAAAGTTGACCTAAAATATATCGGTCTCAAATGTTAAAAAGCCTTTTTTTAGCGCACCGAAATTTCAAACTTCAAACTTTATACTATAAATAAATAGTTGAATGACAAAACACCTCACCCTGTACAGACAGGATTAAAAATCATATCATATTTATTTCCAGTCATGTCACGGAACTGCTACTGTTTTCTGGCCTGGGAATAAATGACCTGTTCATCATAATGGGACGGTTACGTAGGACTGGTTGGGGAGAAACAGAAAGGGCCCGTCCAGGGCTGGCTGCTGGTCCGTCGCAGCCGGCCCGCGGAACCACTGACTGCCCTCCTGCCAGAGACTCGGCAGGTTTTTCAGCGCATAATTTCCACTCCGCAGGAAATTACCAATACCAACTGGCACTGTTTTAGGACCCTAGACTCCCATTCATTACAACAGAATGATTCCCACCTTAGTTTGCACTTTTAAGAATCTCTATACAGTTTTTCAAGTTTTAAGGAAAAGAAGACACAGAGACAAAATACTCCTCAATTTAGTTTCCTCTTACAGAAGGAAACATGACTATGGACAATGAGTAGGACGGAATGTTCCGGACTGTGCATACCTTAAAGCCTCTCTTTTTCTCTACTTTTTCCTCCCGTCTCACTCATCAGGCCAGGGAAGGAACAAGAATTTCTAGTCCAGTGGTCATGCCCCACATCCTATAATTTTGTTGCTGTTTTTCGCTTAGCCATATAGCTCCATTAATCAGCAAGAAAAAACATGCAGCAAGCTATCTATACGTCCTAATATCATCCCCAACAAAGAAATGAGAATTAGAAAGTTGCTTTTGAAAGAACTTGTTACGTGAAGAACTACGGTGGCCGGCCAGGGACCTCAGAGCACGGTCAGGATTGCTCTGGGCCAGTCTGAGCTTTGGTTACAACTAAGTATCGGGAAAATTCCGTGAATTTACTTAATGAATGAGCACTTAGTTAAGAATTGTATTTCTGCATAGTCAAACACAAAGACTGCTTCCAGAACAATTGAGGTTGGTCTGAGACACATTTTTACTCAGATAATTTCTGTTATTTTCCTACTTAAGATTTTTATAAATTATTAATTCTTAAAAAAACTAAAAATAGACCTACTATACTGCTGGTTTTTCAGTGGCAGTGCAATTTGGTTTCATACACTGTGATTTCTACTGATTGCTGTATTTCTTTGTTTAGTGTGCGTTCCATTAATTATATTTATTCTAATGGTCTGTTATTTTGATTGGTATCACATGGATAGTGCTTTGTATTACTCTACCATGCCATGCTAAAATAATCATTTATTTGATTGTGTGAAAATTGGTTTAAATCTTAAAATAAGCATTTTCAGCATTTTGAAATAATGAAAACACCAAACCTCATGTTTTTTCTCAAATTCAATTCATTCTGTTCATCCTGATGCCATTACTGACTATCTAATTTAGGTTTTCTATATGACGCGCACGAAAGACAGTGGACATTACCAGTCAGAGTTTATTTGCATGTACGCCATTGTGTGTGAGTTATACAAACAAGTGGCAGATCTCCAGTTCACATTAATATTTTAGCTATAAAACCAACAATAAACAAAATGTACTGTTAAGTGAAAAAGGCTTTATGTGTAAACTCCATCTACATATTAATAATATAATATATATTTAATAATAGATATTCATGAGACTTAGAATGTGGGTAAATACATGGATTAAAATAAGACAGAACTGAAGTCGTGGCTAATCCCAATAACCATTTCCCACTCTACATTTGCATATAAAATAGATTGCAATTCCCTGGTACCTTTCATTTTTTTTCTCCTTAAGCAAAAATAATTTACTAGTAAATATTGAACGAATCAAAATAGAAATCGCTTCTGCAAATGCAAATTATTTAAACAGATATCAACTCCTACACATCTCAAAAAAGAGTTTTAGCTTTGCTAATTTAAAAAAAAGTAGGAGTGCAAAACAACATATGCAAAAACAAGCTATGCCAAAGGAAGACTTGCTTTGAGACTAGACCTAAGTACTCACTCTCCTTTAATGTCAGCAGGTACGAGGCATTTGCAAACATCTCACGTTTGATGTTAAACTAACTACAACCACAAAAGAAAACATGATTCTCGCATTTACACTAAGTATTTTGAAATACACCCCCAAACAGGTTTTGTTCCACTTTCCCACCTACTGCAATCCAGGGCCCTGTTGAACAGTTTCAATACAGTTGTTTTAGAAGCTACTGAAAATACACCTTTCTTCCCAGTCAGGATTGCTAATAGCAGAAATACACATGCTGTTAGAAATTTGGTGGCAATACCGAGTTTGATCCAAATATAAGTACACTGTTTTCAGCTGCAATGTTTCGGGCCCCCAGCGAAAATGAATCCTGATGCCCCTTAGGAGAGTATGCGCCTCCCCAAGTGGATGACTTCCTTCACTCCAACCAGGACTGGCGTTACGGAGAAGCCAGGCGGGCCCAGAGTGCTGGGACTTGGCTGCAAGTGCCCCGGGCTCAACTCCACAGACTCCTTTAGACAAAAGTGGAGGACACTGGCTTTTGCAGGTGAAAGACCTCAGAGCACCTTGGTCAGCAGAGATCCTATTCAGGATTAAAATGAAAGTAGGCACCTTGTTCGTGGAAATGGGTCAACAAAACTGGGTCAATAATCCGAGTGTTTCTTCCTACGCGTGTCTGACTGGACCCAAGGTGAGCTGCAACAAACACTGGCCGGCATCAGAAAGTGCAGACCAGCTTAAGGGTCAGGGGGAGTAAGAAGCCTGCGAACATTGTAGCTACTGCTCCTTTTTCTTCCTTTAGAAACAAAATCAAAGCACACAAGAAGCCTTAAAGTTCCAGCAAGTAACAAGATAAATAATTATTTTTTAAAGTGCTAATGAACCAATTCTGGACACCAACAACTTTGAACCTTCCGGATCTCACATTTTCCACGAGAATCTATTGTGATGCATATCAGTCGTGTGTCTGTCACAAAGATTTAACTCCAAGATGCTCTGACCAAATCTCAGGTAGCTGATCAATTCTCTACACGTTACTGGTTTTCCTGAAGATCTTTCTGTGCCAACGTCTGAAAGGAACACATAGAATAATTATTCATGAGGAAAATGAAATTCATGAAATCCTTAATAAAGGAATCATATAAAATTTATGTAAATTTAACACAACCACGCTGGGCATTTCTAAATTTTATTTTTAACATTTTTAATAAAAATATAAATCCTAACATAACCTTTTGGAGCATTTGTAAGCAAAAATATTTACTGAAAATAAACATGAACAAAATGTAACATATTAAATGAAACCTAGACTTTAATATACTTTAAACTTAGCTATACAGGTCTCCAATTAAAACAGAGCACAGCAAATACTGTGTTCAGTTCATAAACAAATAAAGCAGAAGGTTAAAAGCAATTGGAAGTGCTCCCACACAATCTGCAAATAAGTTTCCAATAATTGGATACAAAGTTCTTAAGATCATAAAAACCTGTAATAAGGAAGTTTTAGGATCTAATATAATAAAAGTGTAATTTATGCCTATCAAAAACAAGAAGCTTTTTAACATTTGGATAGTTAAACTCCTTCAGTGCATTAATCCGCTAGTAACAGCTCCAGTCAAGGGCATGTTGTGTGGTCAGGTCTGATTTATTTTTTTAATATTAGTTTGAAACCGTACATCTTCTCTTTGAGTATCACTTGCTTTATGTAGCGCCTAGCTCTTCAGGAACTCAAAATACTCCACAGATTTATTTCCTGACCTTAGTTTTTCTGGTTGTTGCTGCTCTGTTTTTTATATTTAGTCCAAATCCATGTGAACAGAAAACACTCACTTAATGACATGTGTTGCATTAAAACCATTCTTCCCACTAGGTAAATAACGGTAATTAGAAGTGAAAGAATCAATGATGGCTTACCAACTCCAAAAATTCTATTTCCGTTTGGAGAGCTTCATAAACACTTTGCATGTCATCTTCCTTATAAAGTTCTAATTCTTTTTTAAGTCTGTTTTAAATGAAAAATTCACCCTATTAGTTCAGCAATTAACACGTATAATCATTTTTTGTTATGTGAATGGTGGCAGGTTTCTAGGTCTATTATCATCAGGATTTCATGTCAACACTAAAGAATGTGGAAAGAAATTTTAATTCTCTATAATTCTGTAAGGGCTACATAAAACTTTGGGGAAAATACTCCCATATGTAGAATAAGGTAGACTGTATAATAATAAACACAGTCTCTTTAGGGACATTAAAAGAGCAGCCCCTCCATGCTAGTCGTGGCCACTAACAAGGCACACAACCTTGGCTCAATCAGCTGGTCTCTTGGAACCTCACCTGGGAATGTTAAGTACAGAAAAATAAAAAATACAGGACTTCTGAGATTTCTTGCTCTAAAATTAAACATTAACTTGATAACACACACATATATCATTAAAATATATTTTGAGAGTGAGAAATTAATACCAATGTTTCTTTTCCCCCGTGAAGCTTTTAATCCTTTGGATATACTAAAATGAACTGAAACCATTATTTTATGTCCACATTTAATGTTAAAAATGGTGATGAAACAACAGTCTTTCCTTTTCGGCACTTTGACTAACATTCCTTCCAAAACACAAAACAACATAAGCCAGGGGCACCAGCCGAGATTGGAGAGGCAGAGGGCCGGCACTGAGAGGGGGCGGGCAGGAGGGCGGGGCTGCCTGGAGAGCAGGCACGAACAGCAGTGCTGCTCCCACAAACCTGACTCGGTGAGGCCGGCCCCAGGGTGGAAAGGATACACAGAGCAACTTGAACCTACCCTGAGCCCTCTCCTTAAGGGGAGACAGCAGGAGTCCTAGGCCAGTCAGTGGCATCACACCCTGTATACTGGCAGAAGCAAAAAAACCCTCTCTGGAGGAAAGTTGAAGATTATTTAGGTGCAGAGGCCTACCACAGATTAACAGCAAATGATGAGTTCACAATCAAATATCACCCAGTACACAGGAAGGCAAGCCACTGTAAGTGAAGGTCATTAGAGGCAATAAACAACAGATATGAAGAACTTCACGTCAGCAAGTAAAAACTAACACAATGAAAAACGCGTGCACACACCTGTAACCAGATTATTCATAAAAGAAGATATCCAAAGGCTAATAAACTATGAAAAGATGCTCAGCTTCATTAGTCATCAAGAAAGCACAAAAGAAAAGCACAATGTAATGCCACCACACACCCACTAGAATAGCTAAATTGAAAAACAGGCAATACCAAGTGTTGACAACACACTTGGTATGAAGAAATTAGAATTCTAAGACCCTGCTGGCATTAGGTATCATTTTCCATTCTTTTACTTTTAACTTATCTATATCTTTACTTTTAAAATTTCTTACAGAAATTCTATGCTTGTTTCTTACTTTTTTATCCAATACAATATGACTTGGTGTGTTCAGATCATTTACATTTAATAGAATTATTTATTGGGCTGAATTACATTTTTGTTGTTTTCTATTTGTTCCATCTGTTCTTTGTTCCTTTTCTCCTTTCTTCCTGCTTTAGATTGATTTATTTTTTTATGACTGCATTTTATCTACTAATTAACCTATTTTTTACACATATTTTAAATTTTTATAATATAAAAATTTAAATATATATTAAATATTATATATTTAATACTTAATATATTATAATATATGTCATTTATTATATAATATATTATATTTTATAATATACAGCTTCAATTTACTACTGTGTACTTTCAAATATTATACAGACATATTTATAGTATTTAAACTTTACAACAGTATGTTTCCAATTACTCACTCCTGTTTTTCATTTATTGTTATCACATATTTTTCTTTTACATTTACTAGAAACATAAAATATATTGCTAGAATTTTTGATTTAGTAATTTGCCTTTTAGAGCAATTAAAAACAAAAAAAAGCTTTTATGTTTACATTCATTTAAACCACTTCTGGAGTTTTACTTCTTGATATATCTCCAGGTTGTTATCTGGCATCATATTTTTTCTTTCTCAAGAACTTACAATAGCCTTTTTTTTGTAATGCAGTCTGTTTTCAAGGAACTCTAGACACCCTATTTGTTAAAAAATCTGTATTTGCCTTCGAATGTAAAATATATTTCCATCAGGAGTTCTGAGCTGACACCTCTCACTTTCAGTATTTGAAGAGTCATCCCTTTGTCTTCTGCACGATTTCTGATAAGTCTATTGTGATGCTTATCTTTATTCCTTCGTATGTAATGTGTTTTTATGTCTTTTCTTTTTCTGCCTTCCTTCAGGGTTCTCTCTTTATCTGTGTTTTTCAGAGGTTTGACTATAATGTGTAAAGATGTTTGCTTTTTAAAAAATGCTGCTTGGAATTCTCTGAGTTCCCTGTATCTGTGCTTAAAGTATTTTATTATTTTTGTAATATGCACTGTCATTGTCTCCGACATTATGGATGGAGAAATAATACGGATGGATTTCAAATGCATTATGCTAAGTAAAAGAAGTGAGACAAGAGGCTACATACATAGCACATATGTATCCACTTATATGACACACTGGGAAAGACAAACGTAGGAAAATAAAATGGATCAGAGCCTTGGAGTTAGATCTGTGTATTCAAAAGGGTGAATTTTATTGCATGTAAGTTATACCTCAATAAGCCGGTCTTTAAAAAAAAAAGACAGTGACAGGAATCCAGGTTCCGATAAAATAATGACAGCCACCTGAATAAAAACAATCTCTGAATTAGAGGGACAAATTATGCCACCTAAAAGCCACACTTACAACCTAACCAAGAAAGAGAGGATATTCCAAACTTGAAATTACAATACACATTAAGTACAGCAACAAACATCTTCATCCGGCAGCACCAAACCCGAAGTCCACACCAGTGCAGAGAGTGAAGCAGCAACTACATTTCGAAAGAGCGAAGAAAGGAAAGGGAGGGCATGGGGTGATAGAACACGGGTAGATGACCTCAGAAAGAGAAAGCCCCACTCTACGGGGGAAAACACCCACACGTCTGAGGCCTTGTGATGGAGAATACCGGCTTTTGTAAAATCGAAGGGAGTTGCTTGTTTGTTTGTTAATCAATGGGTCTCTTACTTTGGCAGTGGGAAGGGTTGCTGTGTTTTTGATTTTATTGACTTTGTTTCTCTAACACCCTTCATTTCCATCTCTTGCTTCTTCCTTGTCTTTAAAGCTTGTAGCCCTTCCAAGTTCGGTTTCTAGCCCAATAACTACAGCTGATATGGAGAAAGTTTTCAGAGAACCATACTATCAATAAAAAACAAAATCACTTTTAGAGACCAAATAATCCCAGTATCACGTAAATTGGTCCCAAGTATAAAAATAGGAAAACAGCCAAGTATGACCGTGATACCTGAGCCTGACAGAGATGGCGCCACACACACGCAAATGAAACTCGGCGACACTGCAGGGCAACGGCCCCATTTGCATTAAGGAGGGAATGGTGGGATAACGGAGGAGCCCCTGACTATTGCAAATTATTGGTGGTGTTTTCGTTTGGTTCACAGGTTCCCATTATCTGATTATTCTTTAGTACTTACTTACAGTTAGAGAAAAACAAAATAGTTAATAATAGTTATAAATATGAATGATGAAACAATACCCTATATATTCGAGGTTCATAGTGTTCTGAATGAAGAATTTAATAGTAAATAGGAATTCTGAAAGAATGTTCAAGTAGGAAATACAGAATGTTATTAATGTTGAGCATTAGATGTTTTCACAAGCATAAAACCCCTTATAATAAATATTTTTAAAGAATAAGTGGAGGGTTAAATGGAGAGTTACAATGTGAGCGGGCGCTGCTGTTACCAGAGGAAATAGGCTCTTCCCTGGTGTCAGGGGAAAACAACGTCAGGAGGAATTTTAAGCAATAGCGGCAACATTTACTAGAGGGAAAGCGATAGGGCGCTCCCGCAGAGGCAGAGAGCGGCAGGCTGGAGGGCGGGCTGCGCAGACTCAGGAAGTTACAGGGCGCAGCAGAGTCCTCTGCTGCTGCTCACTGCTCCCCTGGTCGCAAGTCTGGGCCCCTGAGAGTTTGGGAGGAAAAAAAAGGCAGACAGTCCCCAAAGAGAAGGAAGGGCACGGGCTGGGCTCTTTGTCAGGCTTCTTGGTATTTCCTTGGGTTCGGGGAAGAGCAGGCTTTCTTTCCACCCAACCTCTGTCCTGGCTTCTCCAGGGCTGTGTTCGTGCCCTCCCCCATCCAATCTCTTTCCTGGGTTTTCTGGGGCTGGTGCTCTTCCCCTTCCCATCTTTTACCCCAGATCGTCCCAGGCTTGCGCCCCTTCCCTCTGTGGTCACAATTTTGGCTCCTACTGCGCATGCACTCAGTAGAATGAACTGCCTGCACCCTCCCACCCCCCACTGCTGTTGATCCTCAGAACAATGCGGTTCCCTACTTCCCCACCAGACCCAGAGCTGTAAGCGAGGTTTCCTGACTCGCAGAGCCGGCAGGATGCCGGACACCCCCAGGGGAGACTGTGCCATTCCTCCTTCCCTCCTGTGTTAATTAGCTAACTGCCTACTCTAACAGTGCTATACAATGTACTTAGGGCTTCATTTTAATATAATTATCTTTTCAAATAAAATGGCAGGGATCTTTCTGCCCACCGTGTCATCAATACTTGCCCTTCCTCCTTTTCAGTTCCAATGGAATACAGGTTTGTAAGATCTTCCACATCCATCAGAACTGGGTGGCGACCACTTTGGCTTTTAGCTCGCTGACAATGAGAATGACACACTACTGAAATTAAGGAGGGCATTTAGAGCAAATTATAGGAAGTATTTCACTATTCAGCATACAATCAAGCTGTAGAATTTAGATTTGCACTTAAAGATTGCTGTTGCTAGCTTTAAAAGAGGCTGGTGATAATGATATGAATATTAACACATTTGCAGATAGCCAAAGCTCTGTAATGGTAAGCAGAGCTCACGCTTCAGTGCATAGACTGATTGCCTACACGAGTCAGAAAGGATTCCCCCACCT